AATATAGCGTATATCATTAATACAGTGGAAGCTCGCTTAACGAGTTTAATCCGTTCCAAAATTCAATATTCAAAAATTCTCATAAAATGTTTACACAAATTTTCAAAATGATATAGCTGGCGCGCAATCCGGGACTTCTCTTCTCATTGTCACTCGTTATGCGACACGTTGCTCGTTAAGCGATATAAAAATGATTCTGTATTCATCATTTTATAATTTATATTTCCAATTATTTTCAAATCAAATTTTTCATTCAAAGAAACTAATACAATTATATAATCCATGTGTACTCACATCATAATAATAAATATTATAGCTCTTATTATTATTATTTTCATCAAATGTAACAAGCTTAAAATTCAATGAAAATCCATCAAAGGTTATTATAAATATTTGGTTTTTGGACGGGGTGGGATTATTGAATTTTTGCCTCATTGCGTGTCTCCCGATTTTCACTCCCCTCAATTGTGTGCAGTTTGTTTCAGTCGAACGTTTTGTTTGTTTATTAGTATTTGGCATTATTACTATTATGATTATTATATATTATCTGGGCAAATAAATTGTGTACAATGCATGCAAAAGCTGTATGCAAAGTCTGTCTTTCTCTCTCTCTCTCTAGCATTCGCTTTGTTTCGTTTTGTCTCGCTCCGTTCTGCATATGCAAGTACATTCATGCGCCAACTTTCAAATTCCCATTACATTTTGTTGTGGAAACATTTACATTGTTCCGCGAAACGAGGATACCGAATGCACATTAACGCACAGCACGGTACACTAAAACTAGTTTTATTTATCAAACTTAATTAGAAACGGCGAAACGGATTACAAAAAAAAACGGTAACAATTAGTTCTTCTCCAAATTATTGGATTGTATTTTTCTATTGTAGTGCAAATTCAAGACAATTTTAAGGTAATTAAAATTAAACATATATTTTCTTTTTTTCACATTTTATTAATATATATATATTATTTTTACGATTGACATATCTTTCATAGAGACACGTGATCGGGCATCCGGACTATCGAGGACTACGGACTAAAAAGGGTGATCGCATGTGATGCCCTCGCGTTTGGCGTAAAATAACATGTGTTTGCTTAAGCGAAATGTGTTACATCATATCAAGTGCACACACTTCAGTGAATGCATCGTGCTCGTTCACTCGTAACTAAGTTTTCTGCTTATATCGAAGACGCATCCATGGAACTGTTAATTAATAATCTTATTACGTAACCCTTTGATGGTAACTATGAACCATTGTAAGAATCGTCGAATTAAAGATTCATTGAATGGAATGGATTGATCGGAATATTCTACTAAATTACGTAATGTAAATAGAAAGCAAAATTAATCAATAACTTCAAACAAATAATATTTATAATATATAAATATTTACAATACATTTAACTTAAATTATAATGTATGCACTAGCAAAAATATTGGCATTTTGCAAATAATAGAAAATTATAATTTTGAATCTGTAATAATTTTTTTTGTAATTTATATTATATTTTTAGGACAATAGAATGTTCCAAACTATCACCAAATCATTTAACGTTTCCATATTTTCATATTTTCTAAGAGAAGACTAAATAAATAGTTATTTTTTTATTACGTTATAATATTTCCCAACTTTTCAGTCATTGGACAATATATAAGAAATTAGTTTATTCTTATTTTTTCTTTAATATAAATAAAAAATCTGTATTTCGATGACAAAAATAAATAATAATTTAAAAATAATGAAATATGTAAATAGAAAAATAATAATGTACATTTAAGATTAAACTCTATCAAATTAATTGAATTCAACTACAGCTATAACTATATACAGTGGCGGATTTACGTATGATCTTTATGGTCTGCTTGATTGAACAGGCAATCAAAGGGCCCATTTCGAGGTCAACATTATCAAAGAAGCATAACTAACCCAAACAATATCTGGCAATCCAATATTCTGGCCTCCAAAAAGTGTCAGACTAGCGCTCTAAAAGGCAGATTTTTTCAGATTTAATTTCTTTATTGTATTGTTAGTTTATCTTACATTTAGGTTATTTGATTTGTGGCCTTTTGTGAGCTTTTGCTCTTTGCCATTACATAGTTTTAGTTTGTATATATTTATGTGTGTGATGGAAGGAATTTTGGATTGATTGTGTCGAAAGGACGAGATTTATGGATCATCTGGTGGTGCATTGCCTGCAAGCACCGCAGGTGGGAACGGGATTTTGTGTTTGGGTTTTTTTGTGGCTGTTATCGGTGGAGAGATGAATAGTGAGCGTGTTTGATGATTTTGTGTGAATGTTTTTATGACGTGGCGCCCCTGATATTTTTTGATTTGATCTGATATTGAAGGGAATGAGACTAGGTTGTATATTTCTGAGCTGGGATATCTATATTGTAATTTGAAGATCTTCCAAATCGTGCTTCTTTCGGCACTTAAGATCCTCTGAGTGGTTTTGATGCTATGGTAATTATTGTGTATGTGAGAACTGGCCTGATGAAAGTTTTGTTTTTATGTAGAAGGGTTTGCGTAGAGCATCCTCCTAAGGATGTACGTAGCCGTGTAATCAAGTTAAGTCGGAATTTTTTTTGTGGCATCTATTATTGTAAGGTGAAGGTTAAATGTATGAGTTAGCTTGATTCCTAGGTACGTGATTTGTCTTGTTTGTGTGATTGTTTCGTTCCAGAGTTTAATTGTGAGTGGAGTGTGATAGGATTTTTTTATTCTCTGTGTCGAAGTCCTATCAGCTGAGATTTAGATGGATTAGGCTAAATCCTCCACTTGCTCATCCAGTACTCTAATTGAGTACTGGCATGTTGGAGAGTAGTAATTGCTTTTTCTGGATTAAAGTTAGAAGCCCAGATAACCGTGTCGTCGGCGTACTGTTGAATGAAGCAGTTTGTTTTGGTTGGAATGGGTATGTCATTGCACAATATGTTAAATAATATAGGAGAAAGTATTTCCCCTCGAGGGACCCCTGCTTCTATTTTGATTATGTTTGACAGTGAATTACCGATTTTTACCACTGCAGTTCTGTCGGATAGATAATGCTGGATTATTTTTATTTTGTACATCGGGAAGTTGTGCTGCAGCAGTCTCTTGGTTAGGCCGTTGTGCCATACTGTGTTAAAGGCTCTATTTATATCGAGAAAAAGTGATGGAGTGAATGGTTTTGAATTGCATGCATTTGTAATGTGTGTTGCCAGATTAAGTATTGCATGTTGTGTGGAAGTTTGCATGGTGAAGCCGTATTGGTGTGTTGGGATGATTTTATTGGTGGAGCAGTGGAGAAGGATTTTATGTTTTATTGTCTTTTCAAGTAGTTTTCCTATCACAGAAAGTAATGAAATTGGTCTATAAGAGTATGTGCTTTTTGGATCCTTCACATTTCAGGTTATTTATTTATATGTCTCAAATATTACAAAGTTAATGATTTAAAGGTGCATGCCCCTATAAGCCTTAGCTCTTTCGGCATTTTGATGGTTACACTTTAAAAAAAAAGAAAAAAAAAGGAAGCGTTACATTTGGGTTAATTTGCGGATGAGTGTGAGTTTATATAAAAAGTTTTACATGGTTTGTGATGTTTTATTGTGGGGAGAGTGTTGTGTGTGTGTGTTTTTGTTTGCAGATGAAGTGTGTGTGAATGTATGGTTGATGATGCGAGCATGTTGTGAATTAGATTTTGGTAGTTTCGTGTCGGTTGAAATTATGTTGATGAATCCGAAGAATAGCTTCGTGTTTGGTGTGGATGAGTGTGGTTGACGGTAGCAATATTCGAAGTGGATGTTTGTGTGATTGGAGTATTGTGTGCTGGAGTACTGACGGTGAGACGGAATCGTTTATTAGTGTGGTGTGGCATGTGTAGCGTTAAAAGTTGATATTAAAGCTAGCGGTTCCCTCTATTGTAAGAGGTTATGTTTGCCACAAAGATGGCGGGGTTTGTGATGCAGGTGGACCCGGATCCACGTCCAGGACGATGTGGAAGGACTGGCCACTTGACGAGATGTACATCCTTCTGCCGGTAGAGTGGAAAATCGCCTCCGGAAAGCAGTTCAGGAGAGCGCTGATCCATTCCACTCTGCTGTCTGCCGGTCTGCTGGTGAGCTTGAGAGGAGCAGCCATTTCTGGGACAACTGGCGCCTTCGGACGACTGGGGCAGCTAAAACTGAACGCCGGATGACTTCTTCCGCAGTTTGCGCATTTCATCTCCGTTCCCTGATTCAATCGGCAGAGGCTGATGGGATGAAGTCCAGAGCACAAGGCTTGACTTTTGGTACATCTGGAATCTTGGTTATGGAAAAAGAGGCAGTGCTTGACATTCTTGGCCTTTTGTGGGTATGGTGATCACCCGGATCGTAATCAATGGCCTTCCGCAGGAGAGGATTTGTGTGGGTCTCGGCTCTGGCAAAGGCCTTCTCCGCTGTCTTCTTCATGTATCACGGTGCAGCTGCTTATTCCTGACGTACCAGGGAGCATTGTAGATGGTTCTCAGTCTTATTCTGGATCACTTGCAGCTTGTGCAAGTGAGTGTGCGCTGCATGGCCCATGCAGGAAACTTGCTTTGGATATTTAGGCAGCTCCTCCTGTTAGTTAGGGGATAGAGTAATCTGATGGTACCACAGGCTTTGTTCCTGGCCGTCTCTATATGCTGCTTAAAGCGTAGTCCTTTATCAAGGGTAACCCCCAGATATTTGGCTGAAGGCTTCCACTGAACCTCTTCACCAAAAACTGTTAGCACACCAGCTGGTTCTCTCAGCTTCACGCTAAACGTTCGGTGATCACGATATGATTTAATCAATTCAATCAACCCAGCTGGGAAGCTGTTCGTATTCATTTTGTCAAGGAAAACCCCGCCTGTGTGCTTCTTCCAGTTGATCCCCTGCGTGATGCGTTCAACAACACGCAGCAACTGGTCTGAAGAAGAGTGACCGTCCCTGAAGCCGAACTGCTAATCGAGTATGATCTGTTGCTGAGCTCCAAAGTCCTTAAGTCTTCGAAGGATCACCTTTTCAGCAACCTTCCCAATACCCGGTAGCAGGCTGATGGGATGGTAATTCTGGGAAAAGTGGCGCTCGTTGCAGTTTTTGGAATGAGGATTATGTCCGCTTTCTTCCATGCCTTTTGGAGACGTAGCATCGCATTGATGATGGCCACAGCGTGCATGACCGATCTCCGGCGATGCGTGAGCATAGAAGCGGAGGCTACTCCCACTACAGGTAGGTGATCGCTTGCGATTGATGGTCCGATGATTGCGACCGATTGGAACTCGTCTACCAAGTCGTCCGTGATGATAATGAGGTCGCTTATTGAGTTGCCGGTGTGGTTGATAAAGGTTGGATCCTTTAATTCTAGCCGGGTTATAGAGAAGACCTCCAGGGCCCTATTAAGGACCTTGCTGTTGGTGTTGGTCATGTGGTCTCCGAAGTCCGTGCGACGTGCGTTGAGATTGGTTGAGATCGCCTAGAAATATAGAGGATGAGTTTTGTGCCACCGTTTCGAAGAAAATTGTTCTTGGGGTCTATTATATATGTTGTAAATGTCTATTATCCTTCCATGCTATACGACCGTGGCCGCGACGACGTTTGGAAAGGGTATTGAGTTCGAGCTGACGTGAAGAAATTCTATGATTGATAGCAAGAGCCACCCCCCTGAGTTGTTTCTGCAGTGTTTGGAGTAGACGCGGAAGCTGGGCACTTTCACTTGTTTGTATGTGGTGCTTAGAGTCTCTATGAATATGAGATTGTTTATTAGTTCTTTTTTGTTTTGTCGTCCTCGCACATTTTTAGATGCTATATTATTGAAAGTGTCTACCATTCACTGAGGGGGGGAAAGAGTAGAAGAGGGATCGGATCGATGGTATCGAACGCGAAGTGTTGTTGGTTTGAATGAATAAATTTCATTTTCATACCTAGAGACCGGAACACCACTGGAGGAAACTCACTACGAACTCGCGCACGTGCTTCTGGGAAGATGACGGTGACGCATCGGATGATATCTTGTACTTGGATTGGGTTAGTGGATCAATGATTCTGATGGGGGCGATCACTTCCGAAGCAAAAGGAGCCTTTGGTCTCTTTGGACAACTGCAGCTGAAGGCTACATGGTTGCCGTTGCAATTAACGCACTTCACCGGAGTTTTCTCGTCTTGTTTACATTTGTTCGTGGGGTGCTCGCCGGAGTCCGCAGGCGACTTTCCTAGCGCATGGAGTCGTTGTTCCGTGGAAGTTTAGGCACCGACTGCATTGAAGGGGTTGGTCAGGTGGAGGATGAGAAGCCTCAGCGCGCAGGACTTCTCCAAGGATCATGATGACTCTATCAGCTCGGCGATGACCTTCTCGGAGGTGGAGAGTACTCTAATCAGTGTTGTTGGTTGGTTGGTTTTCCTGGAAGTGATCCTTCGGTGTCCTTGGAAAAATTCATTTTGAACTCGAAGGTTTTAAGAAGTTTGATGAGTGGGCTGGGAGTGAGGTATTCCGCTGGCAGTCCTATGCGCCACTGTTGCGTGCGTGTCCTGCGTTGAGCCGTAGAATTCGGGGATCACCCCGATTTTACGGGCGATGATGGCACAGAGACCGCTTTGGAATATAACTTCTTAGGAGTCACATGTTTCACGAACTTTGAAACCTGTATGAGGGTAAGTCGGGTGAATCTGACCTTGTTTTGATTGTTTTCCTGGTTTTTCTCTTTTCGCCTTTTAACGAATTGGCAGGTTCCTTAAGGTACTGGCTGGCGGTTGAGGTGGAAGGCACGGCCGAGTCGTAGTCGCTTCCTGCTGGGGTGGTGTCTCTTGAGGAGTTGGGGTTCATTATAACGACCCTATTCTTTGGCTCTTTTTCCTTTGAGATGAGGGTGGTCCCGTTGTTGCGCTCTGGGCGCTTTTGATTTTCTTCCTCCATCAGGATGGATGACCGTCCTGGATGGATGGGAGTAGATGAGTTTTCACTTGACTTTACTGCTTCGCTGCTTCAGATGAACTTGGGCACCCCTAAAAGGCTTAGTCCATGGTGATTAAATAGTAGGTCCCTGTAACTATGGTAGATACATTTAATAACATATATACATCTTTTATTTACAAATAAGTTAGTAGAATGTTCTTGGTTCACAGATCTTTCATTTATGGCGTAGTAAATATCTGTTAATAATATATTAGATCATTATTGCTCATAGTGTTAAAGATGTGAAAGGTGAAAGAACAGTCAAACACTAAGTTGACTGAAACAAAAGCTATGAAATGCGAGTAAAAACAAGATATTTAAAAACGAGATATTTATTTTTACCCGTGCGGCTTGATCCTTTGTTAAAAAAAGTCCATTCGAATAGAATAACCGTATGTAATAAATAAACTAGTTGTAAAATAACGTATGAATATAAAGTACAGAAGGAATAATCGGTGGTCATGAACTAAGAGTAATTTCTCTTGGAGAGAAAATAAAATCCTACGGTCAAATTTACCACCTATACTTTAAAAATGTTCGCGGTACACCTGGAATCTTTCGCGGTATACTACAGTGCCTAGAGCAAGGCAACAAAAAATTAACGCTTGAAAAAGAAATATTTTCACATTTTATAATAGATAAAATAGATTCATAAAATGCGCATGAAAGCTTGATCTTAGCTGTGGTTCCATCCATTTGGAAATAATTCGCGTCTAAAGTTGACAAAATGCACAATTTACGCTTGAAAAAGAAGTGTTTTCACATTTTATTTATTTTATCGATAACTATAATAGATATAATGGATTCAGAAGATGCATATGAAAGCTGGATTTTTGGTGAATGTATAGAGATTTCATACATTGTGGTAGGTAATAATACATAATCAATAAGATTTTAAAAAAATTTTAAAAACATTAATTATTTATTTACTTACTTTTATTTATTTACTAACGTTTCGCGGAACTTAGTTTGAGAAACCTATGCCTAAGAGTAACATCTCTTAGATATTTGTTAAAAAGAAAAATCATTCGGCGTGTAATTACTTAGAGTAATTCTTCCTGAAGATTAGGTTAGGTAACAAAAATATTCGGTCGGCGAGTATGTCCTCATATATGGTAGAATGTTAAGTATGTTAAGTAAATTACGAGATAGGGAAAAAACCGGATTTTGCACACTTAAACCGTTGAGTAATATTAAGGATTTAACAAATGGAATATACTTTTCCAAATTTCACATACAATATAAGTTTTACGTTTAACATAAACAGGAAATTTTACTTTATTTACAAATATTTAACATTAGGATTAACTAATTTGATCATATCAACATATTGCTCTTAGATAATTTTATTTTCATATATTATATTTTAGTCTACTCACTCAATTCTCAAAATGAGTTTATCCCACAGCCCTCTCACAAGCTTCGTCTCATTAAGCTTCAGCTTGTTTCCCTTCTGACTGACCCCTCGGTGGTTTGACAATGTTGCATTAGCATAATCCATGAGTTACAACGGAGTGACTAAACTCGTTCACGTAACACAATATAGCTTATACCTTTGCTAACGATAAAGTATATATTTATATAGTGTATTTTATAAAACTAAAAATAGATATTGTTAATTAATTGCTATTATTAATTGCATTTACTAAAGTGAGTTTTTATTTGCATCTTCATGTTTGTAATTAGAACAATGTGTAGAAGTTATGATGTTTACATATTAAGTACAAATTGAATGTAATCAATTTTATTGAATGGCTTTGTAAGTTAGTATAGTTATTTTCTATTCTACAATACAGAAGCGGTCAATATGTTTTTTTTTTCTTGAAATCGGCTTTTCTACCTAAAAACTGATCTACCTGTAAAATTGTTGATTATATTTTTATTTGTATCTTTCTGGTTTTATACTGTGATAGGAAATAAAACTTGAATATATAGACACCTCTCGTTCTTTCTCTTGGTCTTCTCTTTCAATCATGTCCAATATTTCTTCTATAAAGTGAAATTTGTTTAAATCTGTGCCAGAAGAAACATTCTATTGAGCGACGGACATATACTAACAAATCTAGCTTCATTATAATTCAGATTTATATTATTTCTTACGTTTTTTTATTCCTTCCAAATTAATTTCGTCATTGTTTTTGAGCAATTAATTCCGATCTTTTTTGCACAAACTCTAATTTGCTCCATTTTCTATTTTAATATGATTTTTTTCTATTATCTATTGTAGTGTCGGTCAATAAATTATAATAATTATTTATTTAGTAGTGCTTCAAAAGTTGAAGCATTTTGTACTATTGAAAAACAATGTCAAACTAACAGAAACAATTTAAATTTTTGTATGTGCCCCATAAACAGCGCAAAACTAAACATCGACAGTTGAAGTGGCAGTAGAACGAAATTTTATCGCATTAATGAATGCAGCCGGAAATTAATGCAGAGGAAAAACATGGAAACTGAAAAATAAATAACTGCGGATAACGTGCGGCGTAGGCGAGAGGATAATAATGCTGGTTTAAATTTAGATGGAAAGGCGATTATGATTTCGCGCCATCAGACGGGCTCGTGTAAATAATTAAATATGGAGGTGAGATTATAACACGGAAATGTGGGGTGCTGCTAAGGGAGGTTAAATGCAGGGAGGTTGGGGCCTCGTACCCTGTATGAAATATTCAGACGTTTATTACGCGGATAACCGCACATCTGCATACATTACCTTCGCCCCCGGAATTGCGCACAAAACCATCAATTTGTCAAATTAAACTCTGCATTTTTATCGTCTCCCTTACCGCACTCTTGTATCTCTACCTCTCTCCTTCTCTTGCACATGCAACGCAAAGAATGATACATGAATTCGTTCCTATTCATCCACTGAAACTTAATAATCTAAGAGTGCTCGAATTGTTAAACTAATGGTGCGATTCTGCACGAGATATATATTCAGTTACCTTGGGTGAATTGGATTCCTGAAAATCGGAGATAAATCGCTGAAGTCCATCCTGGATGGCGGCCAGATAAAGGGAAATCTATTCGCGATTGGAAATAAGTGGCGATAGGGCTGAGAGGTAAATAAATATATAATATATATAAATTTAATATAATCTGGGACGTAAATGTTTGAAACGGAGTCGAATGCGATTCGGTATTTAGTCGGTGGTGGGGGAGGGGAGAGCTTTTCAGGAAAATCCATTACATATGAGACGAGCGGCGGAAAGCAATCGATTTGCCGTGACAGCCACTACACACACATTATCTTTGATCTCCAGACCGAAGGTTTTTCAATTAAAAACCAGCAGGAAAAGCCAAGAGAGATGAAGTCTGAGAGTGAAAAAGTTGTGATAATACCGTTACTAAGTCTGGCAGATGACATGGGCCGGAGTTTTTTTTACTTTCAATAAACGCAATCTGAAGTACCTTCAAGGATATTGACCATTGACAGATTTTAATGAATAAAAATATACAATTCAATTGAAAATAACGAAATATAAAAACTGACATCCATTTTAAATTTCGAAAATATATGTACATTCAAATTTCGTATATAATTTCATCTATTTCACTTTATATTATTTCCTATAAATTGGGGATAGGTTTTTAAAACACAATTGCCTATCTTTTTTATTAAATTTCAACAATATTTTGCAATGAAATAAACATGTACTTTTTGGTAAAGTCAGGTAATTTTATACTTAAATCGTATTATAAGTGAATTATAGTGATATAGATTACAAAACGGAACAATTTGAGTAACTATATTATTTTATAAACTTATTTCTTGGTATTCTGCTATACAATTTTTGTTTTCGTTATAACATAAACATTTTCTATGAGATTATAAAATTTTAATTCTGGAAATTAAATATGGAGAAATTCACCTGTAAAATAATCAAAGAAAATCAAAGATCAATTGTGCTAACGCAAAATGTATATACTCGGAGGTATCAATAAGATGATACCTACCTATAATGTTCCCACGCCAAATTTTTTTTTGATGATAATATTTTCATGAATTATTAAAAAGTGATTCCATTTTAAAATGGTCTTTGAACTTTTAGGTCATCCTGTAAAAGAAATAAGTATGGTTACTTCTTTTCTTATAATATTGTATTAAGTATTAAAAAGAATACATTAATATACCATAACATTTGGACACTATAAACCTGAGCATATATAATACATCACTCAATAATTCTTCGATCTAACTAATATATTTTTTTTAATTCTACTTTATTATATATAAATAGACAAAATAATAATTTTTGTACAACATTAAATGCTGTGATATAGGGATAA